GACTCACCATAGTAGCTTAAAAACTTGTAGAGGGAAGGTGTCTGGGAGGCATTCAGGTACAGGTATGAAGTCCTAAATGGAACATAAAAGGACTGGTAGTGTGATGCTGGAGACAAGCATGGATGTTTAAGTATATGGAGTGAAATTAGATGGCAAGTTGTGAAATAAACCATGAAGCAAAGTTTCTAACAAATTTGTTCCCTGAGTTTTCTACTGTTTTTCTCACAAGCTGTTTTAAAAATTTTCTTGATTCATTTCCCTAGCATCTCTGGCTAGCTGTCCTTTTGTGTGTATTGTTCACTGCACATACAGTATCACTTTTGTTTTCATCTTACAGTTTCCCTAGAGGGTCTTTAATGGAGAGAACTCTAAGCTCTCAGTTGCCACTGCCTTTTTACTACTACAGAGCAGAATGATAAGCACCTTCCTGGCAGACAGAATATGCTCAGTACATATTTGTGGAAGGAAGGAATACAGGTGACATGTTTTTAATTTTATGAAACCAAATAACTTCCTTTGAGGCTCAAATATAAAAATCTCAAGAAAGGAAAACCTACATTTTAAAACTAGCTCTTTACATGCTCCTTCTTGAATGTGTTTTTACTTTTATGGATCTGACAGCAGAGCCACTTAGGATTAAGTATTTGATGGACGGGGTACTTGGTTGGTCATTAATATTGTCATATTTTCACTCACAATCTGCCTTTTGAGAGCCAAAAATGGTACAGTTCTACTACTTGTACATTATAGCTTGTGACAGTTAAGAAAACAGAAAAAAGTATGCAGCATTTTATATTTCCATGTGGTCTTTAACTCTTTGTGTATTCTAGTTACTCTATGCTCTTGTTTTCTTTCAGATAGAAGAATCTTAGATTGTTAGGAGTGATTTCTAATAGCCTTCCTTTATTGGGGAATGTCATTATTTTGTCTTCACTTTTAAATGATAGTTTTGCTTATATGATATTCTTGGTTGATAATCTTTTCCTCCCTTTCAGCACTTTGAATAATATCTTAACTGCTTTCTGGCCTCCATTGTTTCTGATGATATTGTTTCTAATGAGACATTGGTTTATGTTCTCAATGTGGTTTTCTTTTATGTGTTGAATCATTTTTCTTTTTGTCTCTTTCAAAAATTTATGGCATGTCTAGGGATAGAGTGTGTGTGTGTGTGTGTGTGTGTATGTTTGAAACAGAGTCACCCTCTGTTGCCCAGGCTGGAGTGCAGTGGCATGATCTTGGCTCATTGCAACCTCTGCATCCTGGATTCAAGCAATTCTCATGTCTCAGCCTCCCAAGTAGCTGGGATTACAGGCACCTGCCACTACGCCAAGCTAATTTTTATATTTGTAGTAAAGTCAGGGTTTTGCCATGTTGAACAGGCTGGTTTCAAACTCTTGACCTCAGGTGATCTGTCCATCTTGGCCTCCCAAAGTGCTGGGATTACAGGGATAAGCCATCATGCCCAGCCATATCTCTGTATTTTTTAAAATGGTATTTGGTTGATCAGGTTAGATGAGATTGTTTTTCATTAAATTTGGGAGATTTTCACACATTATTTCTTCAAAATCTTTTCTTCTTTCTTGCTCCTCTCATTCTAGGACTCCAATTATTCATATATTGATTGGTGTGCTTGATGTATTCCACTGGTCTGTGAGTCTCCATTCAGTTTTCTCTAGTGATTTACCTTCCACTTTATGGATTCTTTCTTTGCTAGTTCAAATCTGCTTTTAAGACTCTCTAGTGATATTTTTCCATTTCAGTTATTGTACTTTAATACTCCAGAATTTTTGTATTTTCTGTATGTTTATTTTCTATTTGACAACTGCTTATCTTAGTACTTTTGATTTCATCTTTAAATATGGTTCCTTAGTTTTGAATATATTTATAAAAGTTGGTTTGACATCTTTGCCTTCTAATTTTTCAGCTTCTTCCAGGATAGTTTTCATTTATTGCTTTATTTCCTGTGTACAAGTCAGTTTCTTGCTTCTTTACTTGTCTTAGAATTGCTTTTTAGAAGTGGACATTTTTGATACTGTATTGCAGCAGCTACAGATTTTGCCCATATTCATTCTATAGAGTCTGTCTCTCTTGTAGTATGTAGCTACTAAAGTCTTATTTTTTTTTTTTATCTTTAAACCTTGATACCTAGAGCTTTCCTGGCAGTACAGCATGGTCAGCCTTCAGTTTGTCAGATTTCGTCCTTAAATACCCTGTCTTAGTCAGTCTGAGGTGCATTATCAAAGTGCCATAGACTGGGTGACTTAACAGAAATTTATTTCCCACCATTAGGAAGGCTGGGAAGTCCAAGATCAAGGTGCTGGAAAGGTAAGAGTCATACTAAGGCCTCTTCTCTTAGCTTAGGATATTGGCTTCTCTCCAGTATATCCAGATAATTGTTCTGTCTTCACATAGTAGAGAGAAAGCAAGAGAGCGAGTGCATATGCTCTCTAAGAACACTAGTCCTATTGAATGGGTATCCCATCCTTATGATGACATCTAACCTTAATTACTTCCATAAAGGCCCTATCTCCAAATATAGTCACATTCAAAGTTCAGAAAGTTTACAAATCTGCCTTGGCTTTTACTTTTTGAATATGCAAGGATCCACATACAGCCAGGGACAAGTTGCTAGCTAGGGAAATCGCTGGATTTTCCTGAGTGAATATAGTCTTTCCTAACAGTTGAGCTATATGGGAGCTTCTTAAGGTTCACTATGGCTGTCTTATGGCTGGATCTCGCTGTTAAATTTACAGCTTATTTTCTTACCTGTAGCTCACCCCAACACATAGTGCGACCCCAATTTAGCTGTGATGTTGATCTTTCTCAATTGTTTGCCACTAAAACAGTTACTGTTTTCAACAACACCCCTAAGCATAGATTTTACTTTAAAATCAGCCCTCTCTATCATCTAGGCTCAAAGCCTGCTGCTATACCACAGTATAAGTGCTACATCACAGAGTTGGGGGTAGGGAGGCAGCATGGCAGGAGTTTAGGCTAATAATGCCACAAATTCACTGTATTTCTTGAATAAACACTTTCAATTTGTTGTATGCCTTTTTCCAGAATACTTAAATGTTTTCCTTTGGCAATTTTACTTAGTTTATCATTGCTTTATGCAAAGATAATTCCGTGACCTCTTTACTCAGCCAAGCTTGAAGTCTGTTTATGGATGGCTATGCTTATGAATTGTGGAAGGATGGAAACATTCATTGTGGGCCTACTATTGTTGTTGTTGTGTGTCATCTAGCTGTTTTCAAATTTGGGTATTTAAAATAAATACTAGGTGAAGAATCGGTTTTCTATTATGTGAAATATACATATCTATAATTAAGTAAAATTTAAATTCATTGAGTAGACATTTTTTTCTACAAAAAAGCACTTCTGTTTTTCATTTATTTCAAAATGTTCTCTTGGAAATGAATACTTTAAAAAGTCCTTTGGAAAACAATTTTAAAAAAAATCTTGCTCTAATGTGAATTTTTGTAAGTTAAAAATTTATAAGATTAAGAAATGTTGTAAGCCTTTTATATTAACAGGAATTTAATTCCAGTGGCATTTTATTGATGTATAAAAACAAAAAAGATTTCTTTTTAGAAATATGTAATTGAAGTACATTTTATGTTTACTTGTATAGAAAAGTAAAAATAATTCTCCAAGAGCGCATATATAGCTACTGCCTTATTTACTGCACAGGGTATCATGGGTATACATTTTGATTATCTATGTGGCCCTATCTTCATATATCACAGAGAAGAATTTTCTTTTTCTGATGGGCAGTGGAATAGGGTTGCATGTGTTAAAATGTCACATTCTACATAATTAAATTTTGTTTTAAACAAAATTATTATTTCTTTTTTGGAATGGGTTTGGCCAAATGTATCTTAACTCCTCAATGTTGTTTTGTCACCTATCTTTTCATATAAGTAATGGTTCTCTGGGTTTATATTATAGAGGCCAGTTGAAGTTTTATTTATTTTTAGGTAGCAGGACAAAGACATTGTCTAGAGGCTGGGTTTTGATTTGGTTGCTTCTTTCCAACAGCAGAATGCCTTGTGGTATCTACTTATACTAAAGAGTATAAATACTGCTATCACAAACACCCTTGGTTTCAGGAATGTGCTAATGTCTGAATATAACACAGTTAATTATGTCACTGTCCCTGCTCAGGGCAACTGCCACTGAAAGGAGGTACTCACTTGATGAGGAAGATAGCAGATGCAGTGCTTTGGAGTTAAGTGTTACTCCATTTCTGACTCTAAGAAAGAGGTTTATGATGCTGGCTGTTTTCTAGAGAGTACATAGCAGTTTTCATCTGGTATATTGTCATGTGGGATTTTTTTTTAATTACTCTCAGCCAGGCGTGGTGGCGCACACCTGTAATCCCAGCACTTTGGGAGGTCTAGGTGGGTGGATCACTTGAGATCAGGAGTTGGAGATCAGTCTGGCTAACATGGTGAAACCTTTGTCTCTACTAAAAATACAAAAAAAAATAGCTGGGTGTAGTGGTGCACACCTGTAATCCCAGCTGCTTAGGAGGCTGAGGCAGGAGAATCACTTGAACCCAGAAGGCAGAGGTTGTAGTAAGCCGAGATCATGCCATTGCACTCCAGCCTGGGCAACAGAGCAAAACTCCATCTCAAAAAAAAAAAAAAGAAAAGAATTACTCTTTGTTGGCCAGGTGCAATGGCTCACACCTGTAATCTCAGCACTTTGGGAGGCTGAGGTGGGCAGATCGCTTGAGCCTAGGACTTCAAAACCATCTGAGCAACATGGCAAAATTCAGTCTCTACAAAAAATTTTTTTAAAAATTAGCCAGCTGTTTTGGTGGTACACACCTGTGGTCCCAGCTACTCAGGGGGCTGAGGTGGGAGGATTACCTGAGCCTGGGGGGGGGTCAAGATTGCAGTGAGACATAATCACCACTGCACTGCAGCCTGGGTGACTGAGACATTGACTCAAAAAAAAAACTTTTTTTTGCTTATAATTATATATCTTTTTAGTTTTCTTCACAGGAAAAAAGCCAATTCAGTATTAAAATGCTACCCAAGATTGACGGCAAATACAAAGAGGAAGTCTGCATATTCAAATAGGCGAGACAAACTTTTGAAAATAACAATTAAAAAAGTAAGTATATTAGGAATTAAAAGAAAAATTTTCACAGATTTGCCTACCTTGTTGATGTATATTTGAAATCTGCATCCCTGAATTATGTACACTGCTAACAATTAAAAATTACCCTTGTTAGGAATTCTGGTGAAAGTTGCTTTTAACTAATATTATTTTGTGGGTTGGAGAGCTAGGTTCACTTTCCTGTGTGCTGGACTGTCTTTGAGAGCCCTGTTTCCATAGGACTTTGCTGAGCTAGGATTTATCGCCTTGGCCTGGGGGAAGGACTTGATTCACACAATGTTTTGTTCTAGAAGTTTATAGATAACATCATTGCTTTGCTTAATGATAGACAAAGTATGAAGGAAGTTAATAGATGGTATTTTAAAAGGTTTTACTTCTCATACAAAGGAAAAGACATATTTGAGCTTCCCTTCCCACTCTGAGAGAATACTCTTCTTCACCATTCTTTACTCTAGACTACATGCTATTTAAAGAGAGCATGGATAAGAAAGCACAAGGCAGTGGTAAAAATTCTATAGAACTGCTCCATAGCTGAAAATTACATTACTAGAGGTAGCTATTGTATAAACATCCAGTACTGGGCAGCACAAAAATAACACTAGATGCTATGGAAGTGATATCACATGTGCTAAAAGACAAATATATCTTGTATCTCACTCTAGTAGGGCTTCACGCAATTTTCTGTGAGTGTGGTTGAACATGCATATATGTGTGTGTTTTAAGGTAACTGGCTCTGAGTTGATTTTTGTGTATGGTGTAAGATAAGATATCAGTTTCATTGTTCTGTGTGTGGATATCCAGTTTTCCCAGCACCATTTATTGGAAAGACTACTCTTTCCACCTTGTTCTTCTAGGTGGCCTTGTAGAAAATTACTTGACCATGTATACTGTTAAAAACTTTAGCTGAATTAAATTTAAAAGAATTTAATTGAGCAAAGAATGATTTGCAAATCAGGCAGCCTCCTGTGCCAGAGAAGGCTCAGATACTCCAGTGCAGCCACATGTAGAAAGATTTATGGACAGAAAAAGGAAAGGCCATACAGGAAATGGAAGTGAAGTACAGAAATAGCAGGGTTGGTCACACCTCAGCATTTGCCTTATTTGAACAATTAGCCCCCATTCATTGGCCAAAACTCAGTGATTGGCACAAGAGCAAGCTGCAGTCTATAATTCCATTTAGGTTATAGTTCATGATGTACAGATAAACTTTTAGGCTGAACTTAGAATATATAAAGAGGTAGCTTTAGGCTAAACTTGATTTAACAATTCCCCTCTTTTGGTCATCTGCTTAATTTTGAGAGAATCATCAAAACTTTAGTCATTGATGTCACTATCACCATTGTAAATGTACTTACTTGGTTTTGAAACCCACTGGGAAATAGCACAGCAGTGCGTTTTGTAAGGTGGAAACAAAGTCGTAAGGTTATTATTATTATTTTTTTGGAAGGGTTAGAGAGTACCTCCTTATGCTACAATGTCCTTTTTACAGGGGAGACGGGAGAAACAAAATGTGGTCTGTTCTAAAATCTGTGTGTTTCCTTAAAGTCTTAGTTTGATTATGTCACATTTAGCATAAGAGACTCCATTTTGTTTGGTCTGGTCTGTTGGAGCAAACAATGGCCTCCCATAATTTGTTTTAAAGCTCCCCATTTTTGGTCAGATTCTTGCATAGGGGAGAGTGTGACCAAACCTTAGGGCCTTAGCACCACTCTCAGTTGCCATTGTCTTGGATTTCTGGTCTCAGCATGTCATTCATGGATTATAGTGCCTTTATGGTCACATATTTCTTTCAGCTCTTGTCATTCCAGTTGAATAGAGACCATTTGACATTCTAGAGATGGCTGCATGGAAGTATTTAAAATATTTGAGAGAATACAGTGTACTAGGGAGACTACTATTAAGAGTGTCAGGACGATAATACCAAGAGTTGGAGTCTGCTCCTTAGCCAGGTTCCCCATAAACCAAACCAACTGAAATCAAATAGACCAAAGAAGGAGCTAGATGAAGAGTCTACTTACTTTAAGCAGTCTCTTTATTAATACCCTATAACTTAATCTCTGTAATATTGGATGTGATGTATTTCTTCAGGGGCAAGAAGAATTGCCAGCAGCTGCATAGATATATCTGTTTAGCCAGTTAGTAATCCAGAGTAATTCTATCATTTAGCATAACTTTCACAAGAGAATTTAAAGTCTGTTATGTAACCATAGCCTCTACAATAGAATCTGCTATAAAGCATATCATGGGGGATAAATTTCTAGTTATTACCTCATTTACTCTAAACCATGGAAATAAGGACTTAACAAACAATGCCCTTCAGAAGAGTGAAGACCTCCTGGCAGTGTTCTTTTTAGTTTATGATGTAGGTTAAGAGGAGTGGACCAGTGTTCTGTTTCTGACTGTGAGGCAATGTATGTACCATTAAAATTTCTCAACTACATTAGGCCTCATCTTCCATCTATCAAGGCCCAAGGTTATCCATGTATAAGGCTGGCTGCAAAGTTTTTCACAAATGAAAGTATACCCCATAAATGCACACAGTAGATCCCCTTTAATTTCTATCATTCATAGAGGCATAAACAAGTGAAAAACTATTCAAAGATGACAGTCTCATGATAGTAGAGAAGTTTTGATCTGTGATGTTGGGACAAAGCTGTCCACATCAAGGATGCCACTTTCTTTTGAGGAGAAGCTTCCCTGGTTAGCTTTATCTTAAGTTTTCCAACGTGCGTATAGTTCCAAGAGTGAGGACAGACCCCTCTAAGTTTTGAGATTATGAACCCAAGGTTCAAGGTTCAGAAGTTTTGCTGCAGTGTGGATGGTGAGGATAGTCTTTCAATGATGTTCTTAGAATGTCTCATCTCCGGGTTCTATATTGTGAAGAGGTTGATCTCAGTCAGTGAACCATTAAAAACTTTCTTGGTGAAAATACACTTTGGAATAATAAGCTACTGTTACAACATCAGCTTCCTTGCATGGCAAAGTTTTCTATAAGCAGAAAACATGCATTGAAAATGACAATTGGATGAAATCCATTTAGAAGTATTTAGCCCATCAAATGGTAGAATGTACCTGAAGTTTTTATTTATGTTCCCAAGAATATGGGTTTGACAAACCAAACATTGGTCATAAACTATTTTAGCAACTTAGAAGTCACCACACCAATATATGTATTTAATTTGGATTTAGAACTTTTAATAACAATAGCTTTAAAGACTCAGGAAGGACAAGACAGCCATCCTGGTTTTCCTTGAGCCTATGCTTAACAATAGATTTATGTCTGCTTGAATACCAGTTGTTTCTCTAATTTCAGTGCATAGCACTGATAACTGATGGGCTATCATAGGTAATTTTACTTAGAACATGGAGTTCATTCAAATTTCATATCTAAACATTTTCAGTACTGACTGATTTAGCATGAAAATATGCAAAATATTTTCTTGGTATTAATTTTTGTTATGCTTTGGTGAGCAGTTTTATATACCAGTCAGTATCTTCATTAAAGTTCTAGGAATTCTTAGTCCAAATGATGTGATTCTAAAGTTATTAGAAACCTGTACTGAGGAGTGCTTCTCAGGGTCCTTTCCATCCTTTCCTGAACCTCCTTAAATACATCATATTCTTTGATGTTGCATGCTTGTGAAGTTTTCAGTAACTGCATCAGAATAAAGCAATTAACTATGGGAATGGCTTTAAATAGTCACAGTTAAAGACACAATTGACAAGGAAATATGGTTATTTCTGTGGTCTACAATAACTTAACCATAATTATGATTGATAGCATATCCTCAGACATATTAGAATTTTAGAATTTCCGTGCAATTTTGGAACATATATTAATAACATTAATTAAAATATAGGCTAAAGAAAGTTAAACATTATTTCTTATTTGACAGTGCTTTGCATGTAACTTAACCTGCCCCCACTTCCACGCTGACTCCCTTTTCAAACTCAGCCCACTCACACCTGGATAAACAGCCTTGTTGCTCATACAAAGCTTGCTTGGGTTGCCTTTTCAATCAGATGTGCGCTTAACACCTAAGAGGCAAAGCAGTCCTCACAAGATCAAGAACAACCCCAAACACAGCTCAAAGAAAGAAAAGTCTTCCTAGCTACAAATAGAGTCAAACCCACATTTCTGTCCAGCCATATTTTAGAGGATCTCAGCTTCTCAGCTGAGCACCTTCACATGAAGGCCCAAAAGCCCTATATGAAAGCATTACAAAGACAGGAAATCAAAGGATGTCCATGGAAGGGTAAAGGATCAGTAACAAATAGGTACCCCAGAAAGTCAAGAATCATATAAATAAAATGAATGAGGTTGGTTTCCAGAAAGAGAATGGAACCTGGGCCCCAGTCCTAAAAGCACAGAATCTTAGCTACTAGACCACAGGCTGAGGTGCTCTTTTGTCAATGCTGTAAGGAATCCAAGGCAGGCAGTTTAAACATTTAAAGTATTTTAACTTGTTTCAGATGTGAGCTCAACTGGAAGGTTGTTTAGTTAATAACCTAGATGTTACTGTTTCAAAGACAGGATCAGATTTACATCTCCAAAGGACTGTGAAGTCCATCAGGACATTTAAAGGATACTCTCTGATATTGGTTCAATAAAATCATCCATAACATTCATTAGTTCTGGTTTAGAAGAAAAACTTTGTTGGATCTGTATTTTATAATCTCAGTAGTTTCCTTCTCATTCTGCAGTTACCCTGTTTGTTTTCTATGCTCCAAATTTAAATGTTTACCATCTTTTGAGAGAAAAAAAATGTTCGCCTTGTGGAATTTCAAAAATCTCTGCCTAAGAACTTATGGAAGCTGAGGGAACAAGCAGAAAGGTAAACTTTGGTTTCCTGGGGCAATGTCTATTTTGGGGCTTAGAAAGACTAGGGTGTAGGCGCTGGTTCAGTTAGTGGGGAGGCAGAGATAAGTTGAGGTCCCACACAAGAAAAATATTCCTTGGCTGGGTAAGCAGAACTGGTTGTATATATTGAAGA